TCGGCTCTATTCTGGATGAGTTTTTGGTGCATTCCATTGATGTAGTCCCTTTTCCCTGTCTTTTGTTAGCTACAGAGAAATTTTTCCCACTTTAATAACCATGTTTTATTTTGTAAGATTTCTTTTTCATTTTTGCCTGATTTTTATTTATGCTTCCCACAATTTCTTGTCCTTTTCAGAGCGATGCTGTATCTTCACTTATTAACTTGAAAATGCAAAGGTACTTCATTTTAAAGATCTTTGTCTGGGGCCAGAGAGATGACTCACTGTCTAAGAGCACTTAACTGCTCTTGCAGTAGACCTGAGTTTAGTTCCCAGCACCCATGTTAGGCAGCTCACAACTGCCTGTAATTTCAACATCAGGTAACCTAATGCCTTCATCTGGCCCCTGAGGGCATCCACACTCACGTGTGCACACACATGTGTATGCGCACATACACATACATTTACAAAATAAATAAAGCTAAGCCTTTAGGGCACCTGCCTTCATATCCACATATCCACACAGACAAATAATTTAGAATTAAATTTAAAGGTCTCTTAAAGAGTATAGCAATCATGACAGGTGTGGTGGTACATTCCTTTAAAGTCAGCTTTCGGGAGAAACAGGAAGGTCTCTACAAGGTCAAGGGCAGCCTGGTCTCTGCGTTGAGCTTTAGGTTAGCCAGGGCTACAGAGGCTCTCTCTCTCTCTCTCTCTCTCTCTCTCTCTCTCTCTCTCTCTCTCTCTCTCTTTCTCTGTTATGCACATGTGCATGCTTGCGCTTTTCAAGACAGGATTTCTCTGTGTAACCTTGGCTGTTCTAGAACTAGTTCTGTAGACCAGGCTGGCCTAGAACTCATAGAGATCTGCCTGCTTCTGACTTGTAAGTGCTGGATGGTGTGGTGGGGTCCTTCTGTCTATGTGTTGCCTTTATTGGTTAATAAATAAAGAAACTGTCTTGGCTTGTGATAGGGCAAAAGAACAGAGCTAGGTGGGGGAAACTAAAGTGAATGCTGGGAGAAAGGAGGCAGGGTCAGAGACAAGCCATGTAGCCCCACTGGAGACAGACACTGGAACTTTAGCGGGTAAGCCACAGTCACATGGCAATACACAGATTAATAGAAATGGTTTAAATTACTATGTAAGAGTTAGCCAATAAGAAGCTAAAGCTAATGGGCCAAGAAGTGATTTAATTATAATACAGTTTCTGTGTGATTATTTGGGTTGGGGGGCCCGGCCGGAACAAATAAGTAGGCTCCTCCAACAGTTGGGATTAAAGGTGTGCACCACCATGGATGGCCGAGACCCTGTCTTAAAATAAATAAATAAATGAATCTTTAAAAATCTCTTTCAGTCTGTAGAGTTAGTTTCATCTGGAGGACACTCGTGGCGCTAGGCATTCTTATGTATTTAGAACCTGGCAGTTAAGGTCACTTTGAGGAGGGCATTTCTACTTGCTTATGTTTCTCTGCTTTGTGTCAGCATATTTTTTCTCCCCTGCTGTGTGTCTTCCTCCAAAGTTAGTCATTTTTGCCTCCATTTGCCTCCCTGGCCTCAGATCTGGAACCAAGTTTAAAGTTAGTATATCTTGATGTTCCCACTTCATCCACTGATGTTGGGGACACCACAGACCCAGCTGTGTGGCTTGTTTCCTGGTTCCAAGGCAGGCTTTGTCCTTTGCTCTCGTGGGGTGGGGTGGCAGCGATATTTTCAGACTCTGTTCTTTGGCTCATACTCTCAGTCTGGCTCCTGTCCTCTCTAGTCTGAAGTTTGTTGTGTTTCTGCCGCCCTACCGGAAACAGAAATCTTGGCTTTGGGGCCCAGACCCCAGTGGGTTCCTGACTGTAGACTGCCAAATGTTTTCTGTTTCAGTTCCCTTTCTGTTTCATGAATGTTTACTTTGTTTCTGAGCCCGATTGTGTCTTTTTGGTTTTCTCTTTCTATATTTTAGTCTTATTACCTTTTCTTAGAAAAAAAAAAAGGATTTTTCTTTATTGAGTGTATGTGTGTTCTGCCTGCATGTGTGTATGTGCACCTTGTGTATGCAGTGTCCGTGGAAGCCAGAGGAGGGCACAGGATTCCCCTGGAATAGGCAGTTGCCAACTGTCACGTGAGTCATACAGACGGAATTCAGGTCTGCTGGACCACCTCTCCAGCCCCCATCTTCGCTATCTTTATGTAGGAGAAGGAATGGTTAAAACCTGACCTTGCTGTACCAGCTTGGGCAAATATATTCTTGTGTGTGCCTCTTCCTCTTTTCTCTAGTCTTCCATTAGAAGCTCTGCTCTAGAGAAAAAACAAAACAAAAACAAAACTGCTTTTACTTCCCACATGGTCAACAAATCACCTGTCCTTCTCTGGAACACCGAGTTAGGATGATAGAAACCACAGAAGACAGTGTAGATAAAACAAACAAGCACCATTATTACATACAAAGCAAAAAACCACTAGTTTCTAGACCTGGAACCCAAAAGGTATTGTTACGAGTCTCTGATGACCCTTAACCCCTACAAAATCTGGCCTCTGAAAGCCACCAAAGAAAAAGGATCTGCAGGGCAGACATGCTTATTTGGGATTACTGTGTGTATGTCAGGAGGCAGGAGAGGAAAATGTGAACGAACTGAGCTCTTGCTAGATAAGTTCCAGTCAAGAACCATGGGCTGATAATGTAATATATGCACTCACTCGTGCAACAAGATCAGAATGCAGAGAATGGTTTAAAGAGCCGTGAGTAGTCCTTCAGTAGAGTGGTCCTCTGTCTCCTCAGGACATCCTTCAAGGCTTTCCAAGGCTTTCCAAGGCTTTCCCCACCTCCTTTGTCCCAGCAACCCCCATTCATCCTGGTGCCCAGGATAAAACACTCATTGATGTTTACTACATCCCGACCATAGAGGAAGCAACACACTTATCTGTTTAATTCTATGTTTGCAATCTTTAAATTGAGGCTTTTTTTTTTCACTTTTAATATTGTGGATGAAAAAAATCAAGAGCAGGGAACACGTTAAAAAAAAAAAAATACAGGTAAATGTGAATAGCAAGTCAGGCTGGAGTTTCCAGCACCAGAGCTGCATTCTTGGTCGTGTGTAGGCTCCCTTACATATTTGTCATCTCTGATGGCTACAACACAGTATGGCACCAGAGTACATAAATCAACAAAATATATTCCCAAACTAGCTGCCCAGAGCAGACTCGAGGTAACTTTAACATAAGGATTTATAAAGACCGCTTAACCTCTTTTGGCATCAGAGTCCTCTTTATAAATATGGATATGAACATCCCATTTTGAAGGTGTCTGTGGAGGCTGCTGAATTCAACAGTTCTCCCTTGTCACTTCTGCGCAGCCCATTCAACTTGTGTCTTCTTTTCCTGGCTGCCGAAGAAGACAGCTGTTCTCTTCCGTCCACCCTCCTGCCCCTGTGTAAGCCTGTTTGGTTCCAGGGAGAATGGATTCCTTTCGGCTCCTGCGGCTCCTGATCCCTTACACTTCTGAAGTGAATGAGGTTTCGCATACTAGGGGCAGCCACAGTGCCTCTACTTTAAGACATGCTAGGTATTGCTCAATACTTGGTCGCAAGCCACAGAAGCTAATTCCAAGAGAAAAATAAACGACTGTGCTTGTGAAATTACGTTAGTAGCTTCCTGTCAACTGCAACGCATGCTTGAGTTAGTCAAGCTAGGGAGAGAAAAGGTTTATCATGTTTGAGGCCCTGGTTCACGGCCCCACAAACCCACTGCCTTTAGTTCTCTGGCAGGGGTGCCGGATGACAAAGTGCTCTCCTCATAGCCAGGGAGCAACATAGAAACAGAGCAAGAGCCAAGTCCTCCAATGACTTTAAGGACGCACCTGTAACCATCAGGTCTCTCACTAGGCTTCTCATCTCAGGCTTTCATGCCTGCCTTTTTTATATGCATCCTGAGGATCTCTGAAATCACGGAGCCACTTCTCAGATCACAAGCTTTATAAACAACAACTTACTTGATCCATACAAACCAGAGCTTTACAAACAAGAATTTACTTGACCTTAAACAGTTCTAATAATAGGCAATGCTTATTATGGTTTTATAAATAAGCAAGTTTGGTAAAGGCGGAGGTTGGGTGGAAATATATGTATTTTAGCTGCTGGCTCAGTACTCTGTCTGCAGACCATGGTCCCACACATTTGTCTGAGTAGCTCCATTTTATCAATAGATCCAAAGAGAAACACCGTTTACCTGAAACCACAGAATATTGCCTGTGTAGCCAAGGCTATCACCTAAGTCTTCTGACTGTGGAAAGATGATGCTGATACGCACTGGCCATTGTGAGTCCACTTAACCTGTAGTGCGGTCAACAGCATCACTTCACCACCTTAACTTTCTCAGCTCAAGGACATGGCAGGACCAGAGTCAGGCAAACTATTGGAAGAGGGCTGTGATTCTGTGTGTTCTGAATGCTAGGCTGGAACCAACCCCTGCTTGTTAACTGGAGGCTCAGTTTAGGTGATACGTGACCCATGCCTCCCACCTTTCCTCACTGAGGTGCCCTGAGTTCTCCTAAGATAAGCTGCCTCTTTATCCCAATGTCTTGTAGTCACTCGCCACCTTTTCTCCCACACAACTGCAGGCTCACTGCAGATTCCTATCGCTCTACTCATAGGACTTGGTAGAATCGTCCCCAACATATTCCTCTTTTATAAGCATATAAACTATCCATCCTTTGGCCCAGAGAGTTGGCCTAGGCTTGTTTGGGGTTGCTGACTCTCATGAAGATAGTCTGAAAATTTCATAGCCTTAAACTACACATTATCCAGGATCTTCAAGGAAAATGCTTTTCAGCCGCAAAGAGGAGTGGAGGAGCAAGGCTGGAGCCTAGTCATTTCCCCACGTGCTGAGTGCGAGCACCTGGTGATTTCTCACCTGGCGTCCTTTCTTGGACAAGTTGGAAGCCAGTTAAAACAAGGAAGAGTCTGGCGAAGTAAACCAAACCCCATCTTTATGCATGACTCCCCACCTAGATGATGATACTCGGAAGCCTGGACCAACTTCAAAATTGTTATTTTATTTTAACAATGGAAGAGTCAACGTAAGCTTAAACAAACACAAGGAACTTCAATATTGCAAAACATGAGTGGATTCCAGGAATGGTCCTCATCAGCCTGAAATCTGTAGGGATAAATTTTATTTTGTTAAAATTTAATTTAAATTCTAATCTCCTAAAATACAAATTAACTTATATGGATTTGTAAAAGGGAAATTACCATTTTATCTGGCACTTAGGGACCTTGTCTACACCTGTGATCAAAGCCGTCTGACTATGCTTTGAAAATGAAATATTCTCTTTAGGCGTCTGAAATGAAATTCCTCTTTGTTGCGGACTCACACACACCCCAGCTCACATTCTCTGCCCTCTGCAGACTGCCCTCTGATGGACCAGTCTGCGTTCACCTTGATATGACTGACTCCATCTCCTGAAATCTGACCTTAACTTTCTCAAGTACCAGTCTTTATAAATTTTTAATTTAATTAATTATAAATGTAATACAAACAGAACACATGGGGAAAATTATACATAATACCAATGTCTTAAGAGCTATAATCTTGTCTGAATGTTCCCTTTTACTGTATTTATATGCATATTCTTACACACTTGCAATCACAATGAATAAGTTTGCAACATGCTTTTAAAAAAACTACTGATTCTTATGACTCTGTCTTCTTGTGAGAGAAGATGGAAGGGGAGATGGAGCGGGAGAAGCCAGAGGTTGAGTTGGGGAGGTAGAGGTGGGATGAGAGGGAAAAGGAGGGGAGGGAGAGAGAACTGCTAATGGCTTGAAGGCTGGTGTAGGAGTATAACAAAATAGTTCGCTGTATTTGAATATCTGCAAAATTCTGTAAAATTAACACTCTTATCTCATGGGGGTAAAATAAGCAAGGGCAAGAAAGAGGGCTAGGCATGTACAAGACTCCTCACCAGTTGTAAGCCTGGAATTGCCAAAGTCCCATTTATAGACCAGGGTATGGCAGATTCCCTACTATTGCTGTTTCCTGTACTTTTCAAGATTTAGACAACTTGCTCTTTCGTTCAGAGGTCGGTATTTATTTCCCTTGACTCTCTCATGGAAAAGAACGACCTCAAGGTTCGGAAAGCAGTGTTCCTTTTCCTCTGGCTCTCAGGGCTCAACATTAGAGAGCGTCGAAACTGACACATTGTATAAACACCCATCGGGGAGGCAGGAATTTCTCATATCCATACCCAGGGTCCCATACAAACCTTGCTCTCTTTGGATTTAGCACCCTGAGCGATGGCCCCTAACATTTCTTTTATGTCTTGTGATTTTTTTTTTTTATTTTGTAAAGCAAAGACTTCTTTTGTTCTGTGGTAGATAGTTAGGTATGCAGAGCCTCCTCTAGAAAGTTCTACTGAAATGCAGTTCTGAATCCTGCCAAGGACATGAAGTTTTCTTTGCTGGGGTTCTCGGGCTGACTTCCCACCCCTGTCATTTATAGGTCTCCTCACCAATTACCAGCCACCAGTGAGCATGTGCACAAGGAGCAAAAAGCAAATATTGAAAGAAAAAAAAAATAAGCGGAAATCAAATGAGATGCAAGAATACACATGCATTGCTAAAAAACCCATTATACTTAATCACAACCTGGTTCTCCTCTATAATGTCGATATCAGAATCGACTCAGATTGTTTTTAAGCCTCAACTTCAACAATTTTGTCTTCTGGGGTTTTAATACCTGCTCATTCATCTCTGTTACCTTTTGGGAGAGGGTGAAGATGAACAGAGTGTGTCCTAGGGACTGAACCATGAGGACTCTCCTGTCCTACACAGGTAGCTGGATTCCTTAGGATGGGACCCAGTTGAAAGGGCAAGGCTGCCATTTTAGCAGGGAACCGGCACGTGGCCGGTGCCACCTCCTTCATCCAGCCTCGCGTGCCCAAGAACGCGTGGAAGTTTGGGACTCTGCAGTTGAACCCCGGGCCCGAGTCTGTGTCATCGAGGCAGGCGCCAGCCTTGGTCCCCGGAATCCGTCAGTTCCGGGATCCCCGGATTCCAGCGCCGCGTTTCAGACCCAGACCCGGGCGCTCGGTCCCCCTCGCCCGGCCGCCGGGGTTTCCGGGGGCTCGGGGCTCCCGGCGGCCGCGGCCAGGCCCGAGCGGCCCGGCGGGCGGGGGAGGGGCGCGGCGGCCGGGAGCGTGCGCGCGCACCTCACACTCCGCCGCCCGGGGACGCCCACTCGCGAGTCGGGGCGGCAGGCCGGCCCGCGCCCCCCGCAGCCGCTCGGCTCCGCTCGACCCAACCGGTGTCGGCCCCACTGCCGCTCGGCGCTCCTCGGGCCTCCAGGGGCCAAGGACCAGCCCCGGGCCGCGGTGCCGCGCCCCGCCGGCCTGAGCGTGCGAGCCACCCGAGGCCGGGCCCAGCCGGAGCCGCCCTGCGCCCGCCCGAGGCGCGGCTGCTCGCCCCCGCTTGCTCGCCCGCCTCTCCCCGGCGGTGCGAGGAATGAGCCGGCGCCGGCCCCGGGCTGTCGGTCCGAGGGCCGAGGCCCGGCTACCTCGCACGCTGCCGAGGCGCGGGGACTCAGCTCCTGCGGCTGGGCTCGGCCGGGAAGCGGGCGGCGGGGCTCGCTGAGGAGGAGGAGGGAGGAGGAGGAGGAGGAGGAGCCGGGCGGGGGCGGCCGCTCAGCAGAGGAGGAAGTTCCGCTCCTGACAGAGCGCGCGGCGGCGCGGGCGCTGAGGTGTTCGGGACGCCGTCGTCCTCGCGGCCCCGGCTGAGCCTCTCGCCGCTGCTCCGCCCGGCGCCGCTGCTCGGAAACCGCGGAGAGATTGAGGAGCGGCGGAGCGGAGGCTCCGGACGCGATCGAGTGGACCGACCTGCTGCAAGTCAGTGTGTCGCCGGGCGCCCGCTGGGACGGCCCGCCGCCTCCGAGCATCGAGCCGGGGCGCGGGCATGGCAGAACCCACCTTGCAGCTTCTCTGCAGTATGGCTCGCCCGATCCACTCCCGGGAATGAAGAGGAGACTCGCGATCACCCGGTGAGGCACTGAGAGCCAGATGGCGAGAGGATCTTACCGGACAGAAACCAGTGATCACTTGGGAGGTCACCCGGGCTTCTGGATGTAATCGGAGAGCGTGAAAGAGGTGGCCTCGTAAGAAAAAAAGAAAAAGAAAAAGAAAAAAAAAAAAAAGAAAAAGAAAAAAAGAAAGAAAAAAAGAAAAAGAAAAAAAAGCACAACAATCCTTTGAGAGGAGGGGGAATTGAGTTTATCCGTTTTTGCCAAGGTTTTGATAAACGGTTCGATGTCTTGTACGTTTGATATAAGATGAGAACTTTCTAAAGTATTCCGTCCAAGAGCCTAAGGATGACTACCCCAGCGCTGCTGCCCCTGTCTGGTCGTAGGATACCGCCTCTGAACCTGGGGCCGCCCTCCTTCCCACACCACAGGGCTACCTTGAGACTCTCCGAGAAGTTTATCCTTCTCCTTATTCTTAGTGCCTTCATCACCCTGTGTTTTGGGGCATTCTTCTTCCTTCCAGACTCTTCAAAACACAAACGCTTTGATCTGGGCTTAGAAGATGTGTTAATTCCTCACGTAGATGCCGGCAAAGGGGCTAAAAACCCCGGAGCCTTCCTGATCCATGGACCCGACGAACACAGACACAGGTTTGTTTGTTTCTCAAATTCTGGTACTTTCAAATTTAGGCTCTCTCTTTGGGTAGAGTAAGGGCCAGTTCACGCCCCCCCCCCCCCAGTAAAATGTCAGTGTTAAACGTTGCTGGCTCAGGGCTAGCTGCGTGGAGCGTAGCCTGAAAGGGCTGCTAGAAAGCCTTAGTTTTCAGACTCGGCTGCTGTGCACAGCTGGGAGACCAGATCTGGGCAGTCAGCGTGCGCACATTGGGAACGTGTTGCGTTTGGTCTCTGCCACCCTGTGAAGTCACTGACTCTTGACAGCTGCTAGACTTTGCTCACCCAACACGTCCCAGTCCCTGGCTTGTGCTCTGATCTTTATATCTCTGACTACTATAATTTGGCCAGTTAACCCGAACTGAGCTCTTGGGGGTATACTCAGGACGAAGTGGAAGCTCTGCTTGCAGCCTTCAAGTCGTTGCTGATTTTTATTTTTTTAGCCTAAAAGGAGACTTTGGAGGCAATTCATTTTTCCAAACGTGTCTCTTCTCCCATAAGCTAGTCCTTGAATAGGCGAGGAAGAATTATGTATTTCAAGTGAGACCACCGGAATGATTGAACCCCTGTAGAAAACTGGTAGTGGTTTTAACTTAAGCGTGAGGATTTGAGGTTCAAATGTGAGCCTAAGTTAAATATTTGGCACAGTACAGTGTTGTGATGAGGGCTTTCTCCATTTGTCAGCGCAGTTAATAATTGCTTGCTTGGTGGGTCATTGACTCTTGGTTTTACCTTATGGAGTACTTCTAATATAGTTTCATACCATTTTTCTATAATTTGGGATTTTTTGGTACTTCAACTCAGGTACATTTAGGTCTTTTAAAAAATTTTTCCCCTTTGCTTTTGTAACTGAGAAAACTCTTATTTGAGAAAAAGCTGCTGGAAAAATATAGCGTTTTTTCTGTACAGCCTTATTTCCCATGGTGTGTGTGTGTATATATATGTATGTACACACACCATATATATATGTATGTGTGTACATACATATATACACACACATATATATATGATGTGACAAGCATTTGAGAAAAAAATGTATTTAAGACTGGCATCAGAGTTCTTAGACGGCAGTGATACATTAATGTCAATTAGCTATTATGGTCAGCTGCCATGTACTAATAAGTAGCTTCCTTTATATTTGTAAATTTGTAAATGAGTAAAATTGTTAATTTTTAGTTGAATGAATTTCTATTTAGAGAAGAAAAATTCTCAATTGAAGTTAAAATACAAGTTTGAATGAAAATACAGATATGTGCATTTTACTGCACAATTTTAAAAGGTCTATTTAAGTTTTGTAAATAACAATCCTTAAACTTTATAGCTCATGAATATATGTATGTTTATTGTTATTATTGAGAACACCTGGTTCCTGAGTTTGGCGTGAGAAACAGTTATGATGGCTGAAGAGTGGTTAGGAAAAGTGAAGGTAGCAAATGATACACATGTGTTGGGTTTGCTTTGATTACTGAGTGGAACCATTACAATTCATGAAACAAGAGTTCAAGTAGTGAAGGACGTCTGTATTGTCTCTCCACAGTGTTAACAGTTGGTATGTCTCTTCACTTTGTTACTGCTTCCTCTCATCTGAACACAGTCTATTAATAATTTTATTTTGCGCAAGCGAATATATTTAAAATTAAGTATGCTTTTAAAATGACAGCGAATAATTGTGCAAATATGAACTTGATTAAGAGTTAAGAGTTCAGAAAGATAGTATTTTTATAGAATTATTTGTAACTGAGATCATACTTATTTTGTGTGATTGTAATATCATAGAAGGTGAAAATTAAGGTGTGTGTGTGTGTGTGTGTGTGTGTGTGTGTGTGTAAGGACAAGGGCCAGGGCCAGGAGTGAGGAACTTCACTTTACTAGGTAGTTGGAGGCAAATCTAGGCCATATTTCCTGTTATGGTGCTTAAGAATTGCTTGGTTAGTGTTTCTTTATGAACACATTAGTTAGTATATTAGGGCTTATGTTCAGTAGTTAGTCACTTTACAGTTTTTCAGTGACTAAAATGTGTGATTTTTTTTTTTAGCTAATTTTTAATCAGCTTAAATGGGTTTCCTCTGTATGACAGTGACATCTACTTTACAGGTTGTACGGAATGAGATAATACCTGCTGAGTCTTCAATATCGTTCACAGCATTCAGCCAATCACCAATAAACCTTAGGTTATTACCATTTGTTATAATTGGAATAGTATAATTCTGACTCTGCTTTAAGCATTTTATGTTTCTGAAAAGCTAGGTACAGTTTGATAAATATTTTAAGAGTGCACAGAATGTTCCTATCAAAGGGAGCAATTTTCAACTACATTAGTTTATGACTGAATTGTTAGTTAGCAATAAATACTGTTTAGACTGCCAATCAGAGTTAGTGGACCTTCCCTAGGTGGTTTTGTTTTGGGAGCTAGAAAGTTGTTGTCAGAGCAATCAGAATTTATAGATGTGACTGCCTAGCATTTGGAGTGCAAGTGGCGAGCAATGAGAACAGGAAGGTTCCAGGGAGGGAGGAGGGGGCTCTGATGAAACTGTGGAGTGAAAGAAAGCTAAATGAAGTGTGGGATGGGAGGACGGGAGGCTGCACCCAGCGTCCTAGTGGAAACGGCGTGGTATCCTCAGGGATGCAAGAAATGTTCCAGTGACTGATGCAGTAGACAGTGCAGTTGTGTGGCCGGTGAGGAGAAGAGATGGCGATGTGGCTTCAGTTCCTGGCTGTCCACCAGTCACAGGAGCGCGAGTTAGTTATTAGCATGCACAGAGTGGGCGCTTCATGTGAAAGGCTGGATTTCTGACTTTTCCTGAGAGAACCTGAGGCTAGAGCAACACCCCAGTGTGTGTTTTCAGTTGAGATCTGGCCCCTCTGGCCCCCTCTTGACAGGCTTGTGCTGTCCATTTCATGTCACCTACTTAAGGTGTCAAATAAGTGATATAATAAATCAGTACTGAGCCTGCTGGTGGTTAAGTGTGTGTCTCTAGGCTGGATTCAAGGGTCTGTTCTAAGTATTTTGATCTTCTGAGTAGCCTGTGGGAGGTCCACTGAACCAAAGGAACACCATCATTTTGAATTTAAAAACAAAACCAACTACTTTAGTATAGGAGGACAGCCAAGGTTTGAGAGTCTAAGAACAGACCATAGTAGTGATATTAGGGAAGAAGAGAAATTAGTAGAGAAATGAAATTGAGTTAAGTTTTTGATGCCCATGGTTGGCTGAATATAGAGGCTAAGTAAGGTAGGAGGAGGGAGTCCAGGGTAGAGGAGGGGGTCCAGGGTAGAGGAGGGAGTCCAGGGTAGGAGGAGGAGTCCAGAGTAGAGGAGGGAGTCCAGGCTAGGAGGAGGAGTCCAGGGTAGGAGGAGGAGTCCAGGGTAGGGGAGGGGGTCCAGGCTAGGAGGAGGAGTCCAGGGTAGGAGGAGGAGTCTAGGGTAGAGGAGGAGTCCAGGGTAGGAGGAGGATTCTAGGGTAGGGGGAGGAGTCCAGGGTAGAGGAGGAGTCCAGGGGAGGGGAGGGGGTCCAGGCTAGGAGGAGGAGTCTAGGGGAGAGGAGGGAGTCCAAGGTAGGAGGAGGAGTCCAGGGTAGAGGAGGGAGTCAAGGGAGGAGGGAGTCCAGGGTAGGAGGAGGGAGTCAAGGGAGGAGGGAGTCCAGGGTAGGAGGAGCTAGTTTAGTGTAGGAGGAGGGAGTCCAGGGTAATTTCTGAGTTTCTGGTTTACATGGTCTTGGATTAGTACAAATTTTTTTTCTATTATTTATTTTTTTAATTGTCTTTGCCTTTATATAATTGATATTTGTGAAAATAATATATTTGCTTGAGAATACCTTAGCATGTTCCCTTTTGTTAAGTAATTTATAAATTTCTGATAAGTTTTTTATATAATTATTAAGCACATTTATAAAAATGTTTATAAAGTCTTTCAGAGTGCTAGTCAACTGTCAAGGTGATAAAAGCACAAACAATATGTTGGGTACTATTTTAAAGTGTGTTGCTTTTGTTTATGCTGCATTTGTTTAACTCTGTGAAGCTGTGATTTTTTTTGTCTGTCTAAAATGCCTGATGGTCTGGTAAAGAACTGAACAGCCTATAGCGAGGCAGGAGCAAGGATAGGCGGGGCTGTCAGGGAGAGAGGATAAGTTGAAGGAAAAATAGAAAAAAAGAACAAGGGGAGGAAGACTTCAGGGGCCAGCCAGCCATGGAGTAAGAATGAAAGTAAGATATACAGAAGTAAGAAAAGGAGCAAGCCCAGAAGCAAAAGGTAGTCAGGATAATTTAAGAAAAACTGGCAAGAAACAAGCCAAACTAAGGCTTAGCGATTATAAGAAAGAATAAGACTCCGTGTGTCATTTATTTGGGAGCTGAATGGTTGGCCCCTCAAAAGAGCCCAAAAGGGTAAAACAACAACACACAGCAACAATACCAGTAGTTTAAAATTACATTTGTGATTTTAAATCACCATAAATAGGAATTTTTACAGTGTGCATTAATGTTATTATAACATGCACTGATTTATGTAAAGTGTCATCTTTCTAGTTTGTGTATGTTAAGGCAGTTTCAATTCACTTGCCAGTGTTTCATTTTGAAACTGACATTTACTTATGTAAATGATAAACAAATAAGCTTGAGCCCCTCCACTTCCATGCGTGCATGTGTGTTTAAAACATTGAACATATTTGCAAATTATCCTTTAGTCAGGATCATGTTAATTTGAATTAAATACTTGAGAGTCATGTGTGTTTATTTCTTAAAGGGGAAAAATGTAGGTTTTAGAGTAGAAGGATCTAAAGTGAAATTGTGGTTTTTATTTGGTGGCTATATGACAGTGTCCTAGATGTAATCATTTTGAACCTGTAGTGGCCATTGCTAGTTAGTTACATCAGACAAAATGTATACTTTAGCTGGATGTAGAGATGACTTAATAAGGCACTTTGGAAGCAGAGGCAGATAGATCTATGTTGAGTTCAAGGCTAGCCTGGTCTACCTAGTGAG